CCCCCCCCCCCTATCCTCCCCGCGGTGGCCATGCAAGCTCCACCGCCTGCTCTCGCGAGGGCGATTGCAGAGCGGAGTGACGCAACGGTATTCACTCGTGTCATTACTATTTGTATTGACCGGGCGGTGTGGCGCGGCGCGGCGTGTGTGGTCGGGGATTCATCAGGCAACATGATGTTTGCTTTCTTCTGCGGCCACCTCGCCTGGTAACGAACGCGCCCCGCCTCGAGAGGAGCCGTCGCCCGCGAGGTTCGCGCGCGGGCGGCTTCCGCGCGCCGCTGCCAGTCGGGCTGCGAGAGCACGGCCGGTAAGAGGACGTAAATGAAGCTCTTACGAGCCGGAAGGGTGGCCGGCGGCGTACAGAATACCCCATTCCGCTGCGTGAGGTGTGTGTGACGACGGCCGGGAGGTGGCGAAGTCTTTTGCCGTGGGCGGCGCCTCTGGGAGCGCAATGGTGAAGAAGGCCCACATTAGCGCCCGTCGCACACTGTGGGAATGAAAACGGAGCGGAGGTATAACCCTGAAGGGGCGGGGAGGGTTGGGTCCCGGGTGAAGGGGGGTCTGGCGCCACGGAGCTTCGACTTCAGATAGTATGACCTGGATCATGCATCGGTTTTGCTGCTCTTCTCCCCGAGGCGCACAACTTCAGCCGTGTAGCTGAGGGGGAAAAAGTTTGGGGGGACCGCTTGATATCCATTAACTTCGGACGTGGCCGGTTCCACGGGGGTTAGGTCGGGGCGGGGCGGGGTAGGTTGGGGCAGAGTGGAGCAAGTCGCGTAGGGAGCCACTGTGGCTGACCCCGATACACTCTTCTCCCTTCCCCACCCTTTCACCCCAGCTATGCCCGGCCCGGCCCCCGCCCCGGTCAGCCTACTTTCACCTTGGGACGACATGCAACAGTGACAGTCTGGTCTGACCCCGCCCCGCCGCGCCACCGCTGCACCGAGGGCTGCGAGTGTGTGCTTGCGCTTTGCCGTGGTGTGGGGTGGGGCGGGCGGGGCGCTAAGAGGCTTGCCTCGGCCTCTAGCCGCTCCATAAGACCATCAGGCGAGGCCTGTTTGTCTTGGCCCCCTAATCCCCTCACGCCAATCGCGATGCATTGTACGTCCTGGCCGCGCCTCGCCTCGGCCGCGCGCCGTCCTCGACTCTTGTTTTCTCTCACGTGCGGCTGGAATGTGCCGAGTCGCGCCGCCCACCTGCGGAGCGGAGCCTGCCCTCCGGATGTTGGTGCGTGCCCGCCGCGGCCGGCGACCGGCTTCGGGGTGGCTTGTTGGTGGCGTGACCGTGCTAATGCTAATCCCCCGCTGTCTTTTTCGTCCGCAGAGCACAATGCTGTCCCGCGCCGTCCTGCTGCTGGCGGTGCTGTCCGCGGCGCTGTCCGCCGAGGTGCCCGAGTCCCACATCATGCACGTGCCCCGCCACGGCCTGCCCCAGCAGGTGCCACAGGCCGCGCCCCCCGCGCAGCCCGCCGCCCCCACAGGCCCGCAGACCCCCGCCGAGGAGCGATCGCTCAAGCTCATCAAGCACGCGCCCCTGCTCACCAAGCTGGCGCTCAAACCTAAGTTCCCCTTCGGCTTCAAGGAGAAGTTCCCCTTCGGACTGAAAAAGAAGCTGCCCGCCTTCCTGGGTGGCACAGCGGCCGCTGCTGCAGCCACCGGCGCCGCCGGCGCCGCCGGTGCTGGTGGCCTCGGCGCTCTGGGCATCCAGGGCCTAGACTTCTCCAAGCTGAGCTCCAACGACGCCGCCATCCTGCACCAGTACCCCGTCTGGAAGGTGCACCGCTACAACGGCATCGACCTGAGGCCCGTCCGTCTGGGAGCCCCCGGCCCCTCCGGACCGTACCCCGCAGCCGCCCCCGCCGCGCCCTACCCCGCGGAGGAGCCCAAACAGGTGTACGGGCCCCCGCCCAAAGAAGTCTCAGTGCCCGAGCCCGTGTACGGCCCCCCTGCTGAGGCCTACGGACCCCCAGCTGAGACCTACGGCCCCCCTGCTGAGGCCTATGGCCCCCCTGCTGACATCTACGGCCCTCCCGCCCAGACCTACGGCCCGCCCGCTGAGACCTATGGCCCCCCCGCCGAGGTCTACGGACCCCCCGCTGAGACCTACGGACCCCCGGCTGGCGCCTCCGCCGAGGCTGCTCCTGGTGGCGATGAGGGCCTGGAGGCCCTGTCCCAGCTCGGCGCCCTGACCGACTTCCTTCCCGGTGGTGGCTCCGGATCTGGATCCGGTCCTCTTGCCAGCCTCGGCAACCTGGGCTCCCTCTTCACCTCCGGCCGCTCCAAGGGCGAGATCTTCTCCACGCTGAGCAAGCTCAAGCAGAATTTCCCCGAGATCATCAAGTCCGCCGTGGGCTCCGCCCCCGCGCCCGCACCGGAGAGCGCCGTCTACCACCCGCCCGCGCCCTCTGGCATCCACGGCCTCTTCAAGGGCCACCCCCTGTTCTCCAAGTTCGCCAACGGTTTCTCCGGTGCCGGTTCCCACGTGCCCCTGCCACCGCTGCCCGAGCTGCCCACCCTTCCCGAGATCAAGGGTCTGAAGGAGATCCCCGGCATCCCCGCCCTGCCGCACATCAAGCTGCCCACCAAGTACATCGCCCAGGGCGGCCCGTACGTCAGCGTGCGCTACCCTACCCAGCCGGCCTCCGCCATCAGCCCCCGCGGCCAGCAACTGCCCATCCCCGCCGCAGCCCCCACCTTCGCC